GCCCGATGCTCTTGCCCCCTCCCATGACAACAGACAGAATCCTAACACAACCATTGTTTAACAACCCCTTGATTCTCACTCATGCGGGGGTCCCCTTCCCCTGCTTCGGCACGGGGGCGTTCGGGGACTCCTGGATGGCTAGAGGATTGGGAACAATGCAAGATATATGGGATGTCGACGTCAATGACTGGAAGCCGTTTGAAGTCCTGACACAGACATTGTTTGGGTTGTGGCGACAGAGAGACAGCAGGCCGTACCGGAACAGTGGATCCGTTGCCTCAGGAATGACCTGATTCCGTATCCGGGATGTTGGCACAAGAAAACCGAAGATCACAGCCCCAAAAACTTGTGGAAAATAGAGCAGGTCTGCGCCACACATGTGGAGGCAATGACATGGGAGACAGAGCAGGCAATGCACTCTCTGGGCCCCCCCCTGCTGGAAGTTCAGCAACCTTTACCGCTTCCGCAATTTTCAGACCTCACACCGGTCTGTGTGTTGGATTATTTGGACCATGTGCGCCCTTTTGCCTTGGCAGTGCCTTCGTACCAGCTACCGTTGGATCCCAGGGACTGGGGATGGGCGGCTGAGACAAGGCAACATAAGATTACTCCACTGTACCAATACACAACAAAGCTTGGGTACCGCCTCGCACATCAGAAGGTGGATGTGGATTGGGCTGTGGCCAAAAGATGGATGTCTACAGAATGGATCCAGGACTCTCTTCCCCGACTTTCACAAAGCTTTTCCGGCTATTGGCAACTGCTGATGGATCTGCCAGTGGTTAAACAGGCAAGCTTTCTTTGGCTGATGGCCCATTTGGCTGTTCCCACAGCACAATGGTGTGCAAGAAGAACAGCAAAGGCTTCTCCGCTCTGCACTGTGTGTCCGGGAATGAGGGTAGAGGACTTGCAACACATGTGTTTGCATTGTGAGCTCTCAAGGCAACTGTGGGAATGGTGGAGATCGGGGACGGTCCCCATCCCCCACTACGACACCAGATGGGAAGACGAGTACGTGCTACTCGGTGCAGTGGCCCGGAGACCAAACGGGAAGGGGCCCCTTGCATACCCGGAAGAGAGCTTGAGGGGAGCCATCCTTTGGACCTTATGGACATTGCGGAACTCGGCGGTCAGAAGGGGCGAGAGATTGACTCCGCCTATGATTCGGGCCGAAGTGAAATTCTCGATCAAACAGATGGTGGCCACTGATTGGACCATGAAAGTACAGAATAGGGGATATGCACGAAGACCCCTGAGGCAGTTTTTGCAGCACTGGGAAAAATTCCCGGGTTTGTTTCGGATTCAGGATGGACAGCAACAACCACCACAGCTGGTGTTTTCGGCCTTTTTTGTTTAAAATTGGTGCTTTTTTAAGGTTTCGTAGATTTTACTGGACTCTAGCCAGGTTTTAGTCAATAAGCTTACCTACTGCGGTTTGCCCAAATCACAAGTTTCAGTAGGTTTCAGCAGGTTTTAGTAGGTTTTGGCTGGGTTTAAGCCAAACAGGATTTCGGGCTGCGTTTGTCCAAATCATAGGTTTCAGCAGGTTTTGGCAGGATTTCAGGCTTTAGCACGAACTACATAGGAGTTAGTCAGTAGGATTTCCTACTGTGGTCTGGCGGATTGGCCGGTCGGCTTGCCCAGTTTGTTTTTGCCACGTCTTTAGTGGACACTCTTTCGGGCCTGGCCGATGATGCCAAGCCCGATGGGGGAGCCCACCCATCCTTTTTGTAAGGGACACCGGGCCCGCTTCCCGGCTTGTATAATATGAAAGTTGTTTAAAAAAAAAAGAAAAAAAAAAAGTTGTTCATTTTATTTTTTCTGCATAACACAGTTTTTTTTCAGATATTTTCGTTTTTGTTTTGTTTTGTTTTTTTGGCTAGGACCTTCCCTGGTCCTTGCACAGCCGGGCCGTCCGGGAAAATAGGATGACCCGGGCGGCCCGGCTGGTAGCCTACATTCCACACACAAGTGGAGATAAAAAAGAAAATAACAGAATCACAGTAAGGCACCTCCCTTTAAACCCGTTTAACCCCTTCAAAACCAATGTATACCCCCCTTCCCCCAATTGACATCCAACTCTCAAAAAAAGAAATGAGCCCGGATTTAGGGTCCTCTGGGAGAGCGCAGAACCGGCCAGGCATGACCCCCGGACTGGGTTCTGGGAGGCCCCAGCTCAAAAAAAAATAAAAAATAAAAATAAAAATCCAGAAAAAAAAATATGTTGTGCAGAATTGCAATACAAGTGGTGGAGGCTGCAGACGACAGCCACCAGCCCTCTGGTGGCCCCCAAAGAAGGTTGGTGACGATTGAAAGGATGCCCAGACTCTTCAAAGGAACTGCACAAACTACAAAGACGACCAACAGGTGAAAGGTTGAAATGGTTGGGATGGAAGGAACGGGTACAGTTGGAGAGCAAAAGGGAGGGAGTGGGGGGGGGAGAACTGGTGAGCATCAGTAGCTATCAGGCGGCTGGCACCAGGTGAAGAGGTTCTCCCCCTTCAAACAACCTGTTCAGTCAATCCTCTGGAAACCACAGTAATCAATACTGGCAGGCGTTCTTTAGTGACTTTCCAGAGACTTTCCTATATATTCCAGATTCATTCTGAAAACAAGGGACTCTGGCCCCGTTTTCCAGCAGGTGGCACTCCCCACCAATAGATGGAGCCTCTGTTTTGTGTTAAACCACGAGTACCTTTGGTGTCCGGTTTCGACAAGTTTTTGCCAGCCCTCGGACTTTTAGGAGGCCGTCCCGACAACGGCTGCCGTTGATAAATCTGATGGCCATCGTCGTTTCGTTTCGGCCTCCTGAAAGATGGGAGGCCCGCTATTTTCCAAACCGACAAAGGTACTAGTGGTTAAAAAACAAACAAACAAACAAACAACGACTTTTTGCTGAGGGTCACATCAGAATTCCACACAGAAATTTTTACTTCCCTAATACTCTAAAGCAAAACGCGGGTCTCGTGTGACGCGTCCCGCTGAGACCTTTCCCGCGTGGGCCCGGTGCACCTTGGGCCCGGCGCGGTTTTTTTGTAGGGCCGTTTTTTTTTTTGGGTAGGTGTTGGCGCGGCTTCGTGGGCCCGGCGGGGTTTTCTGTTTACTGCTATTTTTAGGGGGGCGGTTGGTGTCGGCGCGACTTTATGAACCGGCTCTTTTTTCGCTACCGTTTTTTTCCGCGCCGCGCCGGGGGGGGTTGGGAAGTAGCATGACGCGGTCGGCCATATTCAACCAGGTAGTGTATATTTCCATGTTCTAGCCGAAGATTCATTGGATGTTGCTCATCCTATCGATGGAAGTAGCATGGCGCGAGCCGCGAGGTCGGAGAGTTATCGTCTCTCTCTCTCTCTCTCTCTCTCTCTCTCTCT